GGCACCCCTTGGGGGATGTCTGACTGCCAGTTTAGGCCCAATCCCTTTCACAATCCTGGACTGCTGGCTCCTAATCGCCCACCTGCCTGCCTGCCTAGTCACCCCCTGCTCCCCCCCCACCAGCCTGGTCACCCCCAACTTCCACCCCTGCCAGCCTGGTTGCCCCACGCAGTCGTTTGGTCGTCCTTCACTAACCCCCCTGCCGGCCTTGTCACCCCATACAGCCTGCTGTTCCATCGTCCATCCATTTGTTTTGGTCGTGATGGCCCCTGACTTTTTATATATTAGGATAACATAACTGATCCATTCTGTTTCCAAATATATCCAAAGCACTTTGCCTTCCCAAGGACCCAGCGCAGGCCCTGACACAACTAACAGTAGATGAACGAATGAATGGACGAATTTGCTCTGGGAGCCAGACAGCTTGTTCCTCCTGGGTGAAAGGGCTCCTGGGTTGAGTTTTTGCATGCCCTAGCCCACGTCCCCCTTGTGGCCGGTGCCCCTGGAGACCTGCCCGAAGTTCCAGCCTTGGGCTCGGATGCACTTCTCCACGCCTCGGAAGATGATCCCGCTGTCATTGAGCACGTACTCCTGTCTCTCCTCCTCTGAGGCCAGGAACACATCATCCTCTGAAAGGCACAGGTCAAAGGGGCTCAGCAGGGACCAGCTGCAGGAGGTGCCGGGAGGCGGCTGGCAGGAGAGGCCAAGAGGGGCTTGCTGGGCTCCCGGCTGTCATGAGGCCAAGCTCCATTCCACCTGATCTCTCCCAGGCAGGGACCAACCCCAACCCAGCCCAATACTGAAGGATTGTAGGGGTCCTGATGTCTTTGGCTGACCCTACTGGTGCCAACAGCAGCCGCATATTTCTTCAATACTAATAAGAACACTGACCCCAGAACACCTTATAATGTGCTTTGTACATTACAAGCATTAGTGCTATGAATCCTCACCATAACCCTTAGAGGTAGGCTGTTATTCCCATATTACAGATGAGAAAACTGAGACTCATAGAGAGAAGCAACAGGAGAGCCGGGACCGAATCAACACTGTCTGATGGCTGAAGCCCAGCTCTTACCCACTCCTGGGTCCCTCCTGCCTCAGGCCCCATCGCTACCCACTGGCCTTTGCACACAGGAACCACCGATTCCCATCCTCCTGGCACAGGCTCCTGTGGAGCACCTGCTACCAGGTTCCTCTGCCCAGTGCCCACCTCCATCTAGGCCTGGCTCTCACCAAGATCTTGGCATTGACCTCCCTAGCCATTGACCTGCCTCCCAGGCCCTTCCTAAGGGTAAGCCCTCCTCTAGGACAACTTCCAGGAAAGCTTGTGCTTCGGTCATGGCAGCTCCTACCTGGGCACCAGGGGTTGAAAAGGAGAACAAACTCGCCCAGCTTCCGGTCACTGTGTTTGCGGCGAGACGAAAGCCTGGTGCTCAGCCGGTAGCGGCCAATGACGGCATCGGGAGGGCTGGTGACCTTGATGGTCACTGTTTTCCCCTTCTGAGCTGCCCTCACTGCCGTCCAGGCATTTCCCACCTCCAGCTCCGATGTCCGGAACACGGCTTTGGTGCCGAGAGCCTCAGAAGCCTGGGGCCCTGGAGGAGAGGAGAGGCACTCAGACCAGTCACCTCAGGAAATCCAGCTCCGGAAAAGCAGAAAGCCGCCGGCCTGGACGTGCAGCCTTCCCTCCCTGAGCTGCGGGGACACCGCTGCGGGGCAGAGCCTGGCCAAGACAAGACGACCTTGACAGAACGGGGCACTCAGCTCCCGACTCCCACCCACCTCATGGATCAAAGAAAAAGTGACAGGCCCCTTTGAGACCAAAGTCTGCCTTTTGTCTGGCCAGGAGAGACAGGTGTGGGCTGATAGGTGCCTGCTCATTTCTTGTACCTTCCAGAATCCTTGGTGTCCTCAGGATTCCAGAGTCGTCACCTTGTCTATCCCTCTGCCTGCTGAGGCACCTCCCAGCCACCCCCAGAAAGCTGTCATCAAAACCTCCCAGGATCCAGGGCTCAGCCCACCTATAGGGATTGGTTTGCCCCCAGGTCTGGGCTGACGACTACAGGGTCTCAGGTCACTGGTCACAAGACAAGTGTTCCTGACTGGACCAGTGGAGGCTGCGGTGAGCCAGTTACCTGTCTCCACCGTGAAGATGAGGGTGTCCTTGCTGTCCAGGGCACAGTTCAGCTCCAGCATGAAGGTGAACATCTGGCCCCTGCGAACCACCAGCTCGGGGCCGGGGTAGTCCTGGGTGTGGTGGGCAGCACCATTCCGTGGCCACTGCCAGTCCACCTCGGTGACTCTGATCCCTGAGGGAGAGGACAGGGAGATGAGGCCCAGCCCGTGGCGCGTTTCTCACCCCTGCCCCCGTCTGCCTCAGCCTGTCAGCCACGTGCTCATTCAGCCACTAGTTGTCCCACACAGTGGATCCTGGTTATTTGTGGTATTTACGTTCTAGCAAGTCTCCGTGAACACTGAATTAGTGAACACTGAACCACAGCTCTTAGGGAAAGTACAGGGCTAGGTTCCTGGGAGCCTTTGTCACTATTTGCTTCATCAGTCGATCAATACATAACCTTGTTTTTATATATTGATGAGCAGCATGTGAGTGGGGCTGCTGGCAGACAGGGGACAGGGATGGGGTGGGGGGACCACGGCGGGAAGGGCGAGGCAGGGGCATGGAGGATGTGTTTCTGTTTAAAGGCACCTTATCCTATCTAATAAAAGAGAAACATGGTAATTAGCGTATGACCGCTACCCTTCCCATTGGCTAATCAGGACGATATGCCAGCAAAGATGGCGGCTGGCAGCCAGGCAGCTTGAAGTGAACATGAGGCTTGCTTGCTTCAGTGACGGAGGACTCCAACGTTCCTGCCTGCAGCTGCAGGCCTCTGAGCTGCAACTCTAAGCAACTATG